TTTTATCTTTATTATTAGTTGTTGTAAGTTTCTGGGCAGTAAATTTGGTCCAGTATTGGAAGAGATCCAGATTTGTCAGTCAAGTTTAGTGAGATTCAAGGGTATGTCTGCATCCACACCCTTTGTTTGTTTGAACATTCATTTTCCTATTATAGATATGATGGTTTTAGCAAGTCATAGATAAAGCAAGCAAATCCTTGTATTTTGTGCACTTTATTATGTTTAGCAACTTGGTCATTGGGAATTATGTTGTCACAGATGTTTACTTTGCAAGCTGAAGTACTTCACACAGAGATATCAACGAGATAACATTGTAGCAGGTCTGTAGGTAGCCAGTGAAAATGCATGTACCAACACAACCAAGATATCTCTCTCTCTCTCTCTCTCTCTCTCTCTCTCTCCCCTCCCTCCCTCTCACTTACTCACTCCCTCTCCTCTCTCTCTCTCTCTCTCACTCACTCACTCTCTCCCTTACTCACTCTCTCTCTCTCAATTATAATCTTTTTCTTTTTGTAATTAGGTTCTTTTAAACAATCATGTTTTTCCAACAAGTGGAAATGGTAGTTAATTATTCCTGAGCTTATTAACCGTGACCTGTGGACCAGCCGTCCTTGCCCCTCCCCAGAGAAACTTGGAGCCAGGGATGAAAGGCAACGAACAAGTGACCCTGAGTTTTCTTTCTTGAGGGCTCCCTGTTTAAGCTATGATAAATGTTACAGGTACCTGAGAACATTTCCTACCACCTACGTGATCTTTGTTGGCGACAGACTGTTACGATGCTGAGAAGTCAAATATTTAACAGGCAACTGAAAAAGAAAAATATTTGTGGTTAAGTAAAAAGTGGAATGCTTTTTAAATCATTGAGAAATTGGCGTGTGGAATGTCTGTGTGGCTTTATAAGAGTTGGGTTTTTTTAAACTGTATGATTCTCTATCAAGTGCATATGACAGGACACTTGTTTCACACAGTAGGGGTCTCTAGGGGCAGTTCTCTTTTATCTCAAGAAGTTGCAGCAGTAGAAACTAACATTTTGTGTCCACTAGACCTTATTATCATAACATATAGTAATATAGTAAAAAAGCCTTATATGGCAAATTTCTACTAGACCATATTATGCCTAAACTATTGGGCAGTTTGGCAAGGACTACAGTTTAAGTGCTTTTGTCTCCAGGGGTGGGTATCTTTTGTTTCTAGGGGTTGGTATCTTTTGTTTCCAGGGGTGGGTATCTTTTGTCTCCAGGGGTGGGTATCTTTTGTCTCCAGGAGTGGGTATCTTTTGTTTCTAGGGGAGGGTATTTTTTGTCTCCAGGGGTGGGTATCTTTTGTTTCTAGGGGTTGGTATCTTTTGTTTCTAGGGGTGGGTATCTTTTGTTTCTAGGGGTGGGTATTTTTTGTCTCCAGGAGTAGGTATCTTTTGTTTCTAGGGTTGGGTATCTTTTGTCTCCAGGGGTGGGTATCTTTTGTTTCTAGGGGTGGGTATCTTTTGTCTCCAGGGGTGGGTATCTTTTGTTTCTAAGGGTGGGTATCTTTTGTCTCCAGGGGTGGGTATCTTTTGTTTCTAGGGGTGGGTATCTTTTGTCTCCAGGGGTGGGTATCTTTTGTCTCCAGGGGTGGGTATCTTTTGTTTCTAGGGGTGGGTATCTTTTGTCTCCAGGGGTGGGTATCTTTTGTCTCCAGGAGTGGGTATCTTTTGTTTCTAGGGGTGGGTATCTTTTGTCTCCAGGGGTAGGTATCTTTTGTTTCTAGGGGTTGGTATCTTTTGTCTCCAGGGGTGGGTATCTTTTGTTTCCAGGGGTGGGTATCTTTTGTCTCCAGGGGTGGGTATCTTTTGTTTCCAGGGGTGGGTATCTTTTGTCTCCAGGGGTGGGTATCTTTTGTTTCCAGGGGTGGGTATCTTTTGTTTCTAGGGGTGGGTATATTTTGTTTCTAGGGCCGGGTATCTTTTGTTTCTAGGGGTGGGTATCTTTTGTCTCCAGGGGTGGGTATCTTTTGTTTCTAGGGGTGGGTATCTTTTGTTTCTAGGGGTGGGTATCTTTTGTTTCTAGGGGTGGGTCTCTTATGTCTCCAGGGGTGGGTATCTTTTGTTTCTAAGGGTGGGAATCTTTTGTCTCCAGGAGTGGGTATCTTTTGTCTCCAGGGGTGGGTATCTTTTATCTCCAAGAGTGGGTATCTTTTGTTTCTAGGGGTGGGTATCTTTTGTTTCTAGGGGTGGGTCTCTTTTGTCTCCAGGGGTGGGTATCTTTTGTTTCTAGGGGTGGGTATCTTTTGTCTCCAGGGGTGGGTATCTTTTGTTTCCAGGGGTGGGTATCTTTTGTCTCCAGGGGTGGGTATCTTTTGTTTCCAGGGGTGGGTATCTTTTGTTTCTAGGGGTGGGTATATTTTGTTTCTAGGGGTGGGTATCTTTTGTCTCCAGGGGTGGGTATCTTTTGTTTCCAGGGGTGGGTATCTTTTGTTTCTAAGGGTGGGTATATTTTGTTTCTAGGGGTGGGTATCTTTTGTCTCCAGGGGTGGGTATCTTTTATTTCTAGGGGTGGGTATCTTTTGTTTCTAGGGGTGGGTATCTTTTGTTTCTAGGGGTGGGTATCTTTTGTTTCCAGGGGTGGGTATCTTTTGTCTCCAGGAGTGAGTATCTTTTGTCTCCAGGAGTGGGTATCTTTTGTTTCTAGGGGTGGGTATCTTTTGTTTCTAGGGGTGTGTATCTTTTGTTTCTAGGGGTGGGTATCTTTTGTCTCCAGGGGTGGGTATCTTTTGTTTCCAGGGGTGGGTAACTTTTGTCTCCAGGGGTGGGTATCTTTTGTTTCAAGGGGTGGGTATCTTTTGTTTCTAGGGGTGGGTATCTTTTGTTTCTAGGGGTGTGTATCTTTTGTTTCTAGGGGTGGGTATCTTTTGTCTCCAGGGGTGGGTATCTTTTGTTTCCAGGGGTGGGTAACTTTTGTCTCCAGGGGTGGGTATCTTTTGTTTCCAGGGGTGGGTATCTTTTGTTTCTAGGGGTGGGTATATTTTGTCTCCAGGGGTGGTTATCTTTTATCTCCAAGAGTGGGTATATTTTGTTTCTAGGGGTGTGTATCTTTTGTTTCTAGGGGTTGGTATCTTTTGTCTCCAGGGGTGGGTATCTTTTGTTTCTAGGGGTGGGTATCTTTTGTCTCCAGGGGTGGGTATCTTTTGTTTCCAGGGGTGGGTATCTTTTGTCTCCAGGGGTGGGTATCTTTTGTTTCCAGGGGTGGGTATCTTTTGTTTCTAGGGTTGGGTATATTTTGTTTCTAGGGGTGGGTATCTTTTGTTTCTAGGGGTGGGTATCTTTTGTCTCCAGGGGTGGGTATCTTTTATTTCTAGGGGTGGGTATCTTTTGTTTCTAGGGGTGGGTATCTTTTGTTTCTAGGGGTGGGTATCTTTTGTTTCCAGGGGTGGGTATCTTTTGTCTCCAGGAGTGAGTATCTTTTGTCTCCAGGAGTGGGTATCTTTTGTTTCTAGGGGTTGGTATCTTTTGTCTCCAGGGGTGGGTATCTTTTGTTTCTAGGGGTGGGTATCTTTTGTCTCCAGGGGTGGGTATCTTTTGTCTCCAGGGGTGGGTATCTTTTGTCTCCAGGGGTGGGTATCTTTTGTTTCCAGGGGTGGGTATCTTTTGTTTCTAGGGTTGGGTATATTTTGTTTCTAGGGGTGGGTATCTTTTGTTTCTAGGGGTGGGTATCTTTTGTCTCCAGGGGTGGGTATCTTTTGTTTCTAGGGGTGGGTATCTTTTGTTTCTAGGGGTGGGTATCTTTTGTTTCTAGGGGTGGGTATCTTTTGTTTCCAGGGGTGGGTATCTTTTGTCTCCAGGAGTGAGTATCTTTTGTCTCCAGGAGTGGGTATCTTTTGTTTCTAGGGGTGGGTATCTTTTGTCTCTAGGGGTGGGTAACTTTTGGTTCTAGGGGTGAGTATCTTGCCTCTTGGGGTGGGTATCTTTTGGCTCTAGTGGTGGGTATCTTGGCTCTAGGGGTGGGTATCTTGGCTCTAGGGATGGGTTTATTTTGCCTCTTGGGTAGGGTATATTTTGGCCCTAGGGGTGGGTATCTTGGCTCTAGGGATGGGTATGTTTTGCCTCTAGCAGTGGGGTATCTTGCGCTCTTCGGAAACATGTATTTGGAGAGGGTTATAATGAGTCCTGGGAATGTGTCTGCTAGAAACATTTTTTTAAATCAAGTGCTAAAGAAATCATTACCATAATGAAATAGAAATTGATTGGTTTTGTTTTTTGTTGTTATTTTTTTCTTTTTCTCATAAAATCTGTCATGCAATTGCGAGGTGTCAATATTTGATTTGTTAGGAAATCAGGAAATGTAGGCTTGTGGCTAAAAGCTTCACAGTTCCTGCCTAGGGGAAGTGTTCAAATTTGTCCAGGTCTTACAACTGTTAACTTTGAGCTTGAACAAGATTGAAGAAGTACGTGGGAAATGCAAGTTGAGAGACGCGGCTGTTCAAGCTTCTTTGAGATAAATCCTAACATTGAAAATTAAATATAGCTAAAAAATTATTCCTGCATATTTAGTGACATTTTTGTGATCCCCGCCATCTCATGTTGTATTTTAGTTACTCATGTAACAACTTAAATTGCCATTTTTAGTATATTATTTCTTAATTTATTATTTAATTGGGAATTATTAATCTGTTGTAAAGTCTTTTTTGTGAACTGGAAAAGGTATTACAAGGTTGATCTAAAAAAATCTTTAATGTCTACATTTGGAAACATTTAGAAATAAAACAACATTATCATTGATTTTTGTGTGGCTGTTTTTGAAATATTTTAAATAATTTGTTTGTGCTGTATGATGTCTGTTCAAGAAATTTATTCAAGAAATGTGAGGAGCCCATCGGCCCAGTACACATGTGGGTTGAAAACTTGTCATATTGCAGAGAGAGGGTAATACATGTTATGTTTACTCAGTTTATGTTGTCTCAAAAACATTGCATGATGCCCGTAAACTGCAACATGCCTTATTATGGGTGTCTGTTGTTTGTTTCAGAGAGGAGATTGTGGACCTTCAGAAAAACGACCAGCACATCATGAGATACAAACCCATTGCTTCCCTGGTGGCCGCTGGAGCAGTCTCACTCATATGAGATACTTAGACATCTCATTCAGGAGACACTGTGAGACATTTCATTCAGGAGACACTGTGAGGGGTCTCATTCAGCTGTGATGCTGTGAGAAATCTTATTCAGATGAGACACTGTGAGACGTTTCATTCAGGTGATACTGTGAGGCTTTGAGACGTTTCATTCAGGACACACTGAGACGTCTCATTCAGATGAGACACTGAGACATCTCTTTCAGAGAAGACATTATGAGACGTATCATTCATATGAGACATTGTGAGACGTATCATTCAGATGAGACATTGTGACATATTATTCAGATGAGACAATATTTAACATTTTTCATTCCGATGAGATGTTTCAGAAATGTCTCACTCATGAGACACTGAGAGTTATTTCATTCAGAAGGGATGAGACATTTCAATCAGATGGGACAGAGCAAGGTGTCTTGCACGTATGAGACAGAGAGAGAGAGATGTTTCATTGTGGGATAGTGTAGTAGCAGAACTAGGTTTCAAAAACATCCTCTATTACCTAGGGTATAATACCTCTTTTCTGCAGCATTAAATATCCTGAACACATTGAGCACCAGAACTTTGTTTCTTATGTAAAGTCAACCACCTCAGTGGTCTAGTGGTAGAGCGTCCGCCCCAAGAGCGAAAGACCCGGGGTTCGATCATGGGCCATATAATACACAAAGACATTAAGATGTTACTTCTTGTTACCCTGTCTGGTCAGCACAGAGTCAGTGTACTGTGTCTGAGAGGGGTATTCATGTTAAACTGCGGCATGGTATCTCAACGGGATTGCACCATAAAATCGGCATTAGTCTGGACTAGTACAAGCAGCGCACGCCGCTATGTAAGTGCAGTACTCTTGCACCTGACGTTAACCTCACCTCACCTCATCTCTTACGTGACGTGACGCCACTACCTGCACCTGTTTTATCAGTAACTGAACACATAACCTCTCGCTGTTGGCTATTTTTAGCATCATGCCATTTTAACTGAGCTCAGAAAGATGCTATAGTAACAGATGGGTCCAGGCTATTTCTTCTCAAAGGATGGTGATATTCTTCACTGGACATACATGCTACACTGGACATACGAGGGTTTGCTGCAAGGCATAAGAAGCTTGTTCACTCAGTCCTGATCAATCTTCATCTTGTCACAATACTGGAACAACACACCACTGTCGCATACTGGAATAGATAGTGCCATATTTTGTTTATTAAACAATATTCACCTCATTTAGTGTTGGGAGTTGGTTAGTGTTGGGAGTTGGTTAGTGTTGGGAGTTGGTTAGTGTTGGGAGTTCGTTAGTGTTGGGAGTTGGTTAGTGTTGGGAGTTGGTTAGTGTTGGGAGTTCGTTAGTGTTGGGAGTTCGTTAGTGTTGGGAGTTGGTTAGTGTTGGGAGTTCGTTAGTGTTGGGAGTTCGTTAGTGTTGGGAGTTGGTTAGTGTTGGGAGTTGGTTAGTGTTGGGAGTTGGTTAGTGTTGGGAGTTGGTTAGTGTTGGGAGTTAGTTAGTGTTGGGAGTTGGTTAGTGTTGGTAAAATTATGAATGATGATTGGAACATGATCGGGAAAAAATGCTTTTTTCAAAAAAGGCACAGACCTTACCCTTTCTCACCAAGTGGCAAGTAGTGAATAATCATAAATAAAAGGAAAGAATGGATCCACAAGTTGACTGAATGGATCCACAAATTGACCAAATGGATCCACAAGTTGACAAAATGGATCCACAAGTTGACTGAATAGATCCACAAGTTGACCGAATGAATCCACAAGTTGACTGAATGGATCCACAAGTTGACAAAATGGATCCACAAGTTGACTGAATGGATCCACAAGTTGACTAAATGGGTCTACCAGTTGACTGAATGGATCCACAAGTTGACTAAATGGATCCACAAGTTGCCTAAATGGATCTACAAGTTGACTGAATGGATCCACAAGCTGACTGAATGGATCCACAAGTTGACAAAATGGATCCACAAGTTGACGAAATGGGTCTACCAGTTGACTAAATGGATCCACAAGTTGACCAAATGGATCTACAAGTTGACTGAATGGATCCACAAGTTGACTGAATGGATCAAAAGTTGACTAAATTGATCTACAGGGTTTTAAAAATATCAAATGGTCGTCCCTTACTATAAACTGACTGACCGAGATAAAACCTTGGTCCCATTTAGTGCTGTCCTTGAAGTGAATATCCTTTGTCATATAAATAAAATCAGATGAAAGCATGGAGTATTCGAAGCACAACGATCAGATTTTGGCACACTTATATCGCTTTACAATTATAGACAACAACAATCACGTATTTCGATTTGCGTGTGTTGGGTATTGATGACCGAGATGTTCGCGTGGAACCGACTTGTTGTCCAAATCCAAACAAGAAGCACGAATTTATAAACATTGGTGCTTTGTCTCCTAAATGACAACTCAGTAATATGAGTTACAGTGACATACGGCCTTGCGTCACCGCCCGTCCGCCAGGGGGCGACGGTACAGACAGTAGAGTCGAAACTTGTCATTCAGGTTGGATATTGCTTATTCATTCGATCACAATGGGTGAAAATCTCGCGAGACGATCGCTGTTAAGTCAACACTGCTGAAAAAAATATCGGGGGCACGGGTGGCCCAGTCGTCTGAGGCGACGCAATTCGCCGTGCAGAGTTGCGTTCCTTGGGCACGCCCGAAACCTATGATTGTGGGTTCGAATCCCGGTTCGCCCGGACTATGTTTCTAGGGTTGTCAGCACCATACCCGTGCTCGTGGGTTTCACCGATGTGGTAAACGTCAGACCTGCGTCACTTCGGGCTTTCCTCCCACATTAAGCTGACACGCCGAGATATAACTGGAATACTGTTAAAAGCGGCGTCAAACCCAACTCACTCACTCACTCACTGAATAAAATATCACATAAATGATGTCCACAGCACTCATCTGTATTCTTTACTTAGTTTATCTTTTAATTATGTCAAACGACAGGAATATGTTAGGATGTTGGTTGGTTGGTTGGTTTGTTGTTTAACGCCGCACTCAGCAATATTCAAGCTATATGGCGGCGTTCTGTAAATAATCGAGTCTGGACCAGACAATCCAGTGATTAATATCATGAACATCGATCCACGCAATTGGGATCGATGACATGTATCAACCAAGTCAGCGAGCCTGACCACCCGATCCCGTTAGTCGCCTTTTACGACAAGCAAGCATAGTCGCCTTTTGCGGCAAGTATGGGTTCCTGAAGACTTATTCTACCCCGGAATCTTCACGGGTCTGTCAGGATGTAAGTATATGACTTTAATTGACCTGGAAATAACGTGTGAATGAAATAATTGTTTTTGTCAATGTCGGTAATCCATTCTCACATAATTGTTGTATAGTGGACAGTGTAAGGGGAAAGACAGTGTTAGGGGCGGTCGGGTAGCCTAGTGGTTTTAAAAAGCGTTCGACCCGGGTTCGATTCCCGACATGGGTACAATGTGTGAAGCCCATTTCTGGTGTCCCCCGCCGTGATATTGCTGGATTATTGCTAAAAGCGGCGTAAAACCATGCTCACTCACTCACTCATCATCGAAGCAGTCAGTGTTGCGGAAAGACAACATGTGTTTGTAGAAATATGCCTTCCATAGTGGTCTAGTGGATGAAGCGTCTGCCCAGAGTGGAAGGTTGGTGGTTCGATCCCTGGACGCATCATACCAAAGGCGTTAAAGATAGTGCTTGAAAATGGTCAGCTCGGAGTCAGTATACTGTGTCTGAGTGGGTATCTATGTTAAAAGGCGGCTTGGTATTTCAGTGGGCTAGTACAATAAAGACAACATACGCACACGCACACGCACGTCGCTATCATGCATGCAACAGTCCCGAACCACGTTAAACCCGATTCCACCTGCAGAGGTAATAAGGACCCGTGAAGATCCGGGGTAGAATAGGTCTTCAGCAACCGTAAAAGGCGACTATGCTTGTCAGGCTTGCTGACTTGGTTGATACATGTCATCGTATCCCAATTGCGTGGATCGATGCTCATGATGTCAATCATCGGATTGTCTGGTCCAGACTCGATTATGAGCTCACCCGGGTCCGAAGGACCAAGGTGAGCTTATGCCATACCGTGGCGTCCGTCCTCCGGTCCGTCGTCCGTACGTCAACAATTTATTCAAACGACTTCTTCTGAACCACTAATTGGAAATTAACGAAATTTGACTGGAAGCATCCCTAGGTGGTGGGGATTCAAAACTGTACAAATGGTGGGGCTGAGGGGTGGGGCCACATAGGTGTAATTTGGCTATATTGCTTTGAACGACTTCTTCTCTGGAACTAAGAGATAGATATCATCCATATTTGGTTGGAAGCATCCCTATGTGGACACAGTTAAGATCCCCACCATATAACCATATGTACAATTGCTGAGTATAATGAGAGGAATGCATATATGCTACCAGGACTGGTCCTTCTGTTCATCTGTCTGGCACTCCCAAAGGAGTTAGAACTTTGACCATAACATGAAAACAGATATTATCCCCACCCTATAATAAACAGATACATCGTATACATTTGTTGGTTATGAAGAGAATAATACATTTATGCCAATAGAATTCGCCCTTCGACCCAGACCTTAGATCCTGGATCATAACATGAAGCGGTTCAGATCTTTATGCTACATTTTTTATCGAGAGAAATACACGTTCATGCTGTCAGATTTGCCATCCACCTATTTTAAATGCTTACTGTCAAAATTACGAAATATTTGCAGTATTATATACACGTACAATGCAAATTGATATTTTGTCATGATTGTGTGCATATCTAGGTGCTTGTGGTAGAGCGTCCGCCCGGAGAGCGGAAGGTCCGGGGTTCGATCCACGGCCGCGTCATACCAAAAGACGTTAATAGATGGTACCGCTTGTTACCCTGTCTGGCGCTCGGCATTAAGGGGCTAAAACAAGGACTGGTCGGCTCGGAGTCAGTATACTGTGCCTGAGTGGGGTATTCATGTTAAACTGCGGCATGGTATCTCAGTGTGCTAGCACTATAAATCGGCATCAGTCCGGACTAGTACAAGCAGCCACACACACGTGCATACACGTCGCTATACAAGTGCAATAATCTTGGACCCGACGTTAAACTTATTTCACCTCACCGTACTCCACTCGCGACCTTCACATTGCACAACGTACTGAAGTCTAGCGCTGCATGTATGCTATTTGCAGTTTGTCTGATTATGCTGCCTTGACCTGAATCTGGGTCCTACTCTCTTAGTATGTCATGGACACGTATAGCTATTTTCTGTTACACGCCACACAACAAACGCACATGCAACATCAAGTTAAGGAAGGTCATGGACATATTATTCTCGTGTGTTCCTAAACCATTTACCTTTTTAAGTACACCAAATTCGATTGACAATATATATCAAAAGTTATGAACGAGTAAGTACGAAAGCGGTCGAGTTTTCTGCCTCGGCGGCTGTGTCTAAAAGTAGAAACAGCGGCCGAGGGAGTAAACTCGTAAACCTTGGTGTTTTTTAGACTTAAAACTCAAGGCATTTCGATATCTATCTTGGAGTAGTATTTTCTAAAACTTTGACCGCCTCCGTGGTCTAGTGGTAGAGCATCCGCCCGGAGAGCGGAAGGTAGGGGGTTCGATCACCGATCGCGTCGTACCAAAAGACGTTAAAAGATGGTACTTGTTATCCTGTCTGGCCGTCTGCATTACGGGGCTAAAACAAGGACTAGTCGGCTCGAAGTCAGTATACTGTGTCTGAGTGGGGTATCCATGTTAAACTGTGGCATGGTATCTCAGTTGGCTATAGAACTATAAAATCGGCATCAGTCCGGACAAGTACAAGCATTCCTATATAAGTGCAATAATCTTGGACGCGACGTTAAACTTATTTCACCTCACCTCCAAAACGTTATCGTGGAATAAACACATACACAGTGCTACATGACAAACTATAGAGGTTTTATACGGAGTATTTAAAGCGTTGAAAGCCAATTCCTTGTGATATTTTCGATAAAATAGTTTAATCGAAGATAAGTCCAATACTGTTGTATATGGATCTGACATTTGGGATTTTGATATTAATGCAACTGAATCTATGCATCTGGAAGCGCGTGACCGTTTTTTACATGTCAAACCATCCTCAGCAAATCATGTTATTTATGGTAAATGTGATCGTTATCTAGTAGCCATCTATTAGAATTGTAAAGTTTTAGGCAACAATAATATCCTAACAAGAGCCAAGATATGTAAAAGTGTCTTACGATATGCTTCTAAAACTGCCACAGTCTGGGGAAGTGAATTGGGTATCACAGGTTAAACATTAAATTTGTTCTAGTGGATTTGATAATGTGTGGGAATACGTCTATTGATAATGTCCCAGCGTTTCTTGCTGAGTTTGTGTCTAGATTAAGATATTGCTATCAACAAGAATGGTATTCTTTTATATTTTTCGAAAACACTATTTCACTATTTAAACCTTCATTTGGACAACTATATGGCGGCGGTCTGTATATTAGGGACTTTGACTCTGACAATCCGGTGATGGATATTATGAACAACGGTCCACGCCTTCGGGTTTCGATGACGCTGAGCCTGACCAGCCTATCCATTTAGTCGCCTCTAACAACAAACATAGGCTGCTGGGAACCAATTCTGAGCCAAATTCAGATTTTTTAAAGGAAATGGTTTTTCATATCAAATGTTTTATCACTCAGCATATCAATGGGGGTCATTAACAATGTGTTGTCTAGTCTCAACTTCACGCCATAGTCGCGTCCACTGCACAAACACTTTTATTGGCGTCAAAACATCCGCACTGACTTATGCCCATGCAGCTGCACTCCCTGATATGACAGGAGGAATGCACCTACCTGCGTCTATATGCACAGCGTTACACGAACAGCGAGAGCGGGAGTTTGCTGGGGGACCGACGCTCTCGCTGACTTTCCCGCTATAAGGTGCAGCGGCATGTACAGATTGTTTGTTGTTTAACGCTGCACTCAGCAATATTCAAGCTATATGACGGTGGTCTGTAAATAATCGAGTCTGAACCAGAAAATCCAGTGATTGACATCACGAACATCGATCTACGCGACTAGGATAGGACGACATGCTATCAACTAAGTCATCGAGCAGTAATCGAGTCTGTTTCTGGCAATCTAGTGGCTGAGAGTATGAGAGCTCACAACGATCCGTGTTGTCGGTGTATCTTGAGAATAAACCAGGTCACATATTAACCCCTATCCTCATGTATTGGTTCACACAGCAAGACTAGGGTACTGGGAACCAATTCTGCCGGGAATGGGGGCACGGGTGGCCGAGTCGTCTAAGGCGCTGCGATTCGCTGTGCTGAGCTGCGTCCCTTGGGCACGCCAGAAACCTATAATTGTTGGTTCGAATCCCGGTTCTCCCGGATTAAGTTTCTAGGTTTGTCAGAACCATACCCGTGCTCGTGGGTTTCACCGAAGTGGTAAACGTCTGAGACCTGCATCACTTTGGGCTTTCCTCCCACATTAAGCTGACACGCCGTGATATAACTGGAATACTGTTAAAACAAGCACAATGATTTGATTTGCTCAGGACCATTTGTGGCAATTATATTTTCAAATGTATTCAAATTTACATCCATGATACATGTCTTTGGTAAATATATTTTCTATAGCATCAAAATTAGCTCACACAAGTAACAATTTATATTCATCCCCTTGCCTTCATCGCATAAAGGGCAGCCTTATGCAGTTGGTTGCCATCAACTGTCATTATTTCTCAACCGTATGATGGACTTGAGTCCATTATAATGACCACTGCTGTATAATCCCAATCCGACGTTAGACGTTGCTCATACTATCAATCACTGGTTGTGTTTGGTTACAAGTCGCCATATACAGTAAACTACGGTTATAACGAACTCAAGGGACCACTAAGTTTAGTTATAACCTAAGTTCGTTTATAACGAACTCAAGGGACCACTAAGTTTAGTTATAACCTAAGTTCGTTATGAGCAGTAAATGGACGAGACCAAAAAAACAGTTCGTCTTATCCGTTAGTTTGTTATAAGCGTGTTCGTTATAAACGTAGTTTACTGTAGATGGAATTACGCGGACGGAGGCGTTAAACAACAAATTATACCATCAGAACCCAGGATTATGCGAATTGAATAAATGTTTCATCTCCACAAAGTTGTCTGGATTTCACATATGAGCAAACTCTCTTCGCCAAATAACCATGGTAGACCCACATGGATTGTAGGTGAGGTGAGGTGAGGTGAAATTGGGTTTAACGTCGCGTCCAAGATTATTGCACTTATATAGCGACGTGCATGCACGTGTATGTGTGTGTGTGGCTGCTTGTACTAGTCCGGACTGATGCCGATTTATAGTGCTAGCTCACTGAGATACCATGCCGCAGTTTAACACAGTATACTGACACCGAGCCGACCAGTCCTTGTTTTAGCCCCTTAATGCCGAGCGCCAGACAGGGTAACAACAAGTACAATCTTTTAACGTCTTTTTGTATGACGCGGCCCGGGATCGAACCCTGGACCTTCCGCTCTCCGGGCGGACGCTCTACCACAAGACCACGGAGGCGGTCTACACATGGATTGTAGCGTGGTGTTAGAAGTGTAGGTGAAGGTAGCAGATACTCATGGCAGGTACTGCATGGTCGACTCTTAGTTAACATGTTTGGAAAGTGCCCAAAAAGAAGATCGGCCTCGCTGTACTTTCTCGCTTTTATTAACAAACTAGGGATTAGATAAACAATAGCATTAACGGTTTGTTTGGGGGTATGTATCGGTATAAAAGAAGAAAATGTCTGTGAATCAGCGTTTATTTCTCAGATCATTTAATGCAACGCTGTTATTGTGTGCTCTGTCCATTCCAGTAAGAATGTCGTTTCGTAGTTGAAAGTCCTGCAAGGCAGGTTTTGATCATGCATTCCCTGGACTGCCGAGGATGTCTCTGCTTATTGCTCTTGATCATGTATTATGGTGTACCAAGATTCAACATTCACGATGAGAGGGAATGCACCTGAGATCTAACTTTGCGTTTGCCATGTTGCAGGTGACACATATTTGTACTTATATCGTCTGTGATTGATGCTAATGTGTTTGTTTGTTTGTGAGTTACACTTAATACCTTTGACAGAACTGCACTCATATGTGATATAAATACACTATAGATATACCACCGGGGATGATCACGCCAGCAACACACACCGCCTCACACCAACAACAGGTAACGACTCCCATGCAGGTAGTCGACCTTGACCTTGTAGTACGCTGGGGGTGAGGGAGACATGTCATCAGAAAACAAAACATTTGTTGTGGGTGTGAAACAATGCCGCTTCTGCGCATCAACAACAGCACGGTGTTCGACGGTGACGACATCGGAGACGGTTTTTAATACCATTGGATAGACGTGGCATGAATTATTATTAACACAACGACGGAAAATGATATTTTAATAGAGAGTGGGGTTGAGGGTAGGGGTTGGGGCGATGGAGCATTGATGGGAGTTGTGGGTGAGGGTAGGGGTGGGCGGTAAAGCAAGGATCGGAGTGTTTGTTGTTTAACGCCGCACTAAACAATATTCCAGTTATATGACGAATCTGGACTAGACAATTCAGTGATTGACATCATTAGCATCGATCCACGCAATTGGGATACGATAAATGCATCAACCAAGTCAGCGAGCCTGACCATGCACCCGATCCCGTTAGTCGCCTTTTACGACAAGCATAATCGCCTTTTACGGCAAGCATGGGTTGCTGAAGACCTATTCTATCACAGGTCAGGACGGGAGTGGTGAGTGAGGGTAGGGGTGGGGCGATGGAGTGTGGATGGGAGTGGTGGGTGAGGGCATGGGTGGGGCGGTGAAGCGTGGATGGGAGTAGTGGTTGAGTGTAAAGGGCCTGTCACACCGTGACGATTTGGGTCGCCGGAGCTTTTCCTGAGCACAAATTTGGCGAGTTTCGGGGATCGGTACTGGTACGGCAGCGCAACGGTATCACATCGCTGAGAACAGAAGTACATAGTCAGGACATCGTCAGAACATCGGCGAAAAATTTAGCAATGGCAGGCGACGGTAGACATTTTTGAACATGCTCAAAAAACTCCGCCGTTGCTCTGCCGGAGCGACGGGACTACAACGGAAGTACAACGGCGGTACAACGGCAGTACTCCGGTATGGCTTCGTTAATATCAGTAGCGCCCCGTAATGGATCGGCGGCTCCCCGGTGGCCTCAATGTGTACCGTTCTGGTACCGATGTGGTACTGTAGTACTACCGAGTACCACCGAAGTAGTACCGATTTGCGCCGATAGTATCGGTAGTGCATCGGCAGCGCAACGGTATTACTCCGCTATAGCTCCGGTCAACGGTTATACATCGGTATAACATCGGCCGCGCATCGGTAAAACTGAGGTGACAGAAAAGTTATATTCGGTAGCACATCGGCTCTTACATCGGTAGGACAACGGTATCACAACCGTATCACAACGGGAACGCCGGTACTACATCGGTAGTGCTACGGTCAATTTTGATTTTTCAAGTGCTTTCTCGCCGGAGCTCCGCCTATTTTCTCGCCGTTAATTTTTTCTCCGGTTTCGTCCCGGCGAGGTACATTGGTTGTGCGACAGGCCCTTAAGGTTGGGGCGGTGGGGCAAGGATGGGAGTGGTTGAGGGTAGGGTGGGGCGGTGGGGCAAAGATGGGAGTGGTGGTTGAGGGTAGGGTGGGGCGGTGGGGCAAAGTTTGGAGTGGTTGAGGGTAGGGTGGGGCGGTGGAGCAAAGATGGGAGTGGTGGGTGAGGGTAGGGTGGGGCGGTGGGGCAAAGATGGGAGTGGTGGTTGAGGGTAGGGTGGGGCGGTGGGGCAAAGATGGGAGTGGTTGAGGGCAGGGTGGGGCGGTGGAGCAAGGATGGGAGTGGTTGAGGGTAGGGTGGGGCGGTGGGGCAAAGATGGGAGTGATGGGTGAGGGTAGGGTGGGGCGGTGGGGCAAAGATGGGAGTGGTTGAGGGTAGGGTGGGGCGGTGGAGCAAAGATGGGAGTGATGGGTGAGGGTAGGGTGGGGCGGTGGGGCAAAGATGGGAGTGGTGGTTGAGGGTAGGGTGGGGCGGTGGAGCAAAGATGGGAGTGATGGGTGAGGGTAGGGTGGGGCGGTGGGGCAAAGATGGGAGTGGTGGTTGAGGGTAGGGTGGGGCGGTGGAGCAAAGATGGGAGTGGTGGGCGAGGGTAGGGTGGGGCGGTGGAGCAAAGATGGGAGTGGTGGGTGAGGGTAGGGTGGGGCGGTGGGGCAAAGATGGGAGTGGTGGTTGAGGGTAGGGTGGGGCGGTGGAGCAAAGATGGGAGTGGTGGTTGAGGGTAGGGTGGGGCGGTGGAGCAAGGATGGGAGTGGTGGGTGAGGGTAGGGTGGGGCGGTGGAGCAAGGATGGGAGTGGTTGAGGGTAGGGTGGGGCGGTGGGGCAAAGATGGGAGTGGTGGTTGAGGGTAGGGTGGGGCGGTGGAGCAAGGATGGGAGTGGTGGTTGAGGGTAGGGTGGGGCGGTGGGGCAAGGATGGGAGTGGTGGGCGAGGGTAGGGTGGGGCGGTGGGGCAAAGATGGGAGTGGTTGAGGGTAGGGTGGGGCGGTGGAGCAAGGATGGGAGTGGTGGTTGAGGGTAGGGTGGGGCGGTGGGGCAAAGATGGGAGTGGTGGTTGAGGGTAGGGTGGGGCGAGGGGCAAAGATGGGAGTGGTTGAGGGTAGGGTGGGGCGGTGGAGCAAGGATGGGAGTGGTGGTTGAGGGTAGGGTGGGGCGGTGGGGCAAGGATGGGAGTGGTGGGCGAGGGTAGGGTGGGGCGGTGGGGCAAAGATGGGAGTGGTTGAGGGTAGGGTGGGGCGGTGGAGCAAGGATGGGAGTGGTGGTTGAGGGTAGGGTGGGGCGGTGAGGCAAAGATGGGAGTGGTGGGCGAGGGCAGGGTGGGGCGGTGGCTAGGTTTTTCCTTTGACATAAGTGGTATGAACTTATTATTTTGAGATAGACAAGTGTAATAATTCATTTTGACTTGTGTGTAAGGGATGTTTTGTTTAGTGGCTTCGAGATAGTTCAGACAGATCGACCCAAAGGATCAAAACAAACACTAGTACCTTATTGAGACCTCAAGTAGTTTGTGAAGGCCTCGATTATCTGAATAACTCTCGACTTTGTTTTTAAACAAAAGTCCCCAATCTCGTGACAAATTTCCCTCTTGAGATTAACTAAATAGCCTCGGACGAACCCCGCGAGCGTCAATCAAGTTAAAAAGAATTAACATGTGTTATCTGTTTTGTCCACTTCGTTTCGCAACAATCTCTGGTTACCTTCGGCCACATTGGAGTGAGGGGGGGAGGGAGTGTAAGAGGGGGTGAGCAGGTGGGTGTTTGAGTTGGTTTAAACGCGTCTGTAAAAGGTATTCCAGTTGTATCGCGGCGTGCCAGCTTAATGTGGGAGGATAGCCTGAAGTGGTGCAGGTCTCAGACGTTTACCACTTCGGTGAAACCCACGAGCATGGGTATGGTGCTGTCAAACCTAGAAACATAATCGGGGCGAACCGGGATTCGAACCCACAATCATAGGTTTCTGGCGTGCCCAAGGGACGCAACTCTGCACAGCGAATCGCGGAGCCTTAGACGACTGGGTCACCCGTGGCCCCTTCAGTTTAGTGATACACTGTCACTTTATAAGGTTATTATAGTGTCCGACACACACATTCAGTTAATGGGGTATGTTATGGCCGCCTTAATACTCGGTAAGTTGCTAGGATCAGCTTATTGTTGATCGTGGGTTCGAATCCCAGATTCAACCCGATTATGATCCTTGGTCTGTTGGTCTTGGCATCAAACCTTTGCTTGTAGGTTTCACCAATGTGCAGATTGTACGGTCTGACACCACTTCGAGTTTTCCTCCTTCATATTAGGCGGGCACACCTTGTAATAATTCCTGGTCAAAAAGCGAGGTTAAATTCGACTCACTCACTTATTTACATGACATCCTTTAATACCTTCCTCACTTGTATGAGTGAAAAAAAAAGATAAAATACTTTATCATGAATGAAAATCCCAGCTAAGATAAAACGTGGGACGCTCATTGTTAAGGTGACTTTGGAAAAAGCGCAAAGGTTACAGCAATGCAGATTATCGCATACCGTATATCTTTAAGTAAATACCTATCTTGAATATACACGTGCCTTGAGTGCACGCCTGCCTTGAACAACCACGTTCCTTGAGTAAATGTCTGCCTTGAATATAGGCATGCCTTGAACAAACACACGTCTTGAATACACACATGCCTTGAGCGAACGCCTGCCTTGAATAACCACGTTCCTGGAGTAAATGTCTGCCTTGAATATAGGCATGCCTTGAACAAACACACGTCTTGAATACACACATGCCTTGAGTGCACGCCTGCCTTGAATAACCACGTTCCTGGAGTAAATGTCTGCCTTGAATAAAGGCATGCCTTGAACAAACACACGTCTTGAATACACACATGCCTTGAGTAAATACGTGCCTTGAATAAACACCTGTTTTTTATAAACGCCTTGTTTTACTAAACACCTGCCTTGAATTAAAGCATGCTTTGAATAAACGTATGCCTCGATTAAACACGTACCTTGAATAATCGCCTGCATTGAACCAACTCCCTCCTTGAAATAAACACCCGCCTTGAATAGACGCCTGCCTTGAATAAACGCATGCCTTGAATAAATGCCTGGTCAGAAGTTAGGCACAAGGCACAATGATTAATCAACATTACAAAAAACATTCTGATGTTTATTAAAGGATGTACGGCCTTGTCACAGAAGATAAGTGGCACTCGAAAGTTTTTTGCTGTTTCTAAAAAGGCAACATTCAAACTACACGTACTGCATGAGACCACGCGTGTCAACTCGTGTTAACTACCCTCAAACAGAACCATGTTTTGTGTTCCATGTTTATAATAACTGTAGTTTTGAAAACGAACAAGTGTATAATATTCCTATTCTACAAGATATATACCATGGATCCATCCGTGACGTCACACTACACACGTCTTATGACAACACAGCAACGGTGTAATTTGATTGGACGGCTACATTAAGTGTCTTATCGAATCGGGCTCAAAACGAACTTATGGGAGCAAGGGGCCAGGGGCCAGGGGCCAGTGTCCTATTTATTAAAAAATATTATTTATTATATTCCTAGAAATGTAGATGTAATAATTTGGATGATCGAGGATGTCGGAAACTGGTTTAATTAGGTTTTAAAGAATGTTCAACTATATTTCCTTGTTGGACAGAAGGAGTGAGTGAGTGAGTATGGTTTTACGCCGCTTTTAGCAATATTCCAGCAATATCACGGCGGGGGACACCAGAAATGCAGAAGTTATATGTTGGAGTGAAAACAAATAAATAAACTGCACGTCCTCTGTGACGATATAGGTCCCACTAACAGATGTAGTGTCCAAGCTAGTCGTGACGTTTTAATCAATTTTATCACATACCAATCGTGCAATACATATGTGCATTTATGTATACTGCTTAAAAGTTAAGAATCACCGGATACGTTCATATTACTACAGTTAATCTGTCGGATGATTCATAACTCTTTCATTAGTAGTATATGCTTTTGGGTGCCATTTATAATATTCCATCCATATTACTGTAGAACACCAGAAATTGGTTGACTGACAACACTCGTGTAGGGAATCGACCCGAGTTACCTCCCCTAACTAAAAATGTTTGTTTGTCGATCACCTTATTATTTCATGGCCGAATGTAAATAATCTATTTCTCTCCAGACAAATTAGTGGTCGATATTATGAGCAACGTTCGGAGTGTCGGGGTACGATGACCTACAACCAACCAAGTCACTGAGCCTGACCAGTCGATGCTCTTTCGACATGCATGGCATTCTTGGGACCTTAGACCCGTGAATCACTATTTACAATCTGCCACAGATCTGGGCTATTGAAAACAGCCACACACGTACATACACGAAATAATCTTGAAAGCTCACCTCACCTTTTATTTTTCTATTTGGTCTAAATACGTGAATGGGCAATGTAGGTATGCCGGGTCTGCCTAATAATAACATTGTGATCAATTTACGCGATGAAATATTCGTGGATGACTCAATTGAGGTACATCCGGGTACCCTCTCATGTCATCCTTGACCGACGACCCAGGCTGCCGGAGTGTCTTGAAGTACAACCTCCTGTTGCAAGTGTCCAAGGGCGTAAGTTTCGGCCCTCGGATGGTAGCTCAGGGTGATGGCGGATGACAAAACTCAGGGGTGAAGTTTAAGACGACAGCAGCCATGTTTATTGTTGATGGTTTGGAATAAGTCGAAAAGGTACATGTTGATAATAACGTGACAGAACGCACACCGGGACCGAGTGGCCGATGTTCCCGGGTGGGAGAACTGTTCTGTCACTTACACGATCTTCTGGCTGTCTCCAGGCTGTCTCCAGGCTGTCTCCCTGACTGACCATGTCAGTCGGGTTTTGTAGAGCGACGTATTACATAACGTGTGGCAAGTTCATTGTCCCACATGTATGTATATACGTAAGATCCGGCGACGTTAGGAGGTGTTAATTAAAATTTATAGATAGCGCTCGAGATTAAGGGTCCTGCCCGAAGGGGCTTATGATAAGAGGGGATACGCCGAATGTTTGCCGAATATATTAAACAGACAAACGGCATAGAATTTCGGTGCACTTGGAAACATATTGAACCAGTTAGGTATTTAGATAAATGAAATGTACCAATAAAAGTATTGAAATGGTTTGCACTATTTAAGTAAAAGTATTGAAATGGTTTGCACTATAACACAAGATTGAATAAATGCCGTTTCCGACGGGACTACGTTTTAAGATGATACGTTACATGATCATGATCACGATGCAATACAATCAATCTCATTGAAATCTGATCTTAGTTATCGCTGGGGCGGTCGGTTAGCCTAGTGGTGAAAGCGTTCGCTCGTCTCACCGAAGACCCGGGTTCGATTCCCGACATGGGTACAATGTGTGAAGCCCATTTCTGGTGTCCCCCGCCGTGATATTGCTGGAATATTGCTAAAAGCGGCGTAAAACCATACTCACTTAGTTATCGCTACCGCTAAACAAAGATGTGAGGACATCCCATTGCAGGTCATGTCAGAACGACCTTTCGCAAACTTTGACCGTCCAATGAAATGACAAGGAAGAAGTGGACATTAGCCAATGAGAAAGCAGCTTTCTCGAGCTTGAGAGCTTTAATGGGATGTCCCCAGATCTTTGTCTAGCGGTAGTGAGAACTGAGATGAGATTGCAACACAATGCATTGGTTACCAGGATCTGGGACGATTAATTGATACGTCCATGTTAAAAACTAAATCGTTTTATATATTTATTACTTTTTTGTTTCACATTTTTTGGCGTTATTGTGTAGCTATGGCGTTTACCGTTTATGATGCAATCAACACCTGGTTTTCCCTGTCCATACTCGATAACTGATATACCGCAGTACTGTTTTGTTTGTTTGTTATTTAACGCCGCACTCAGCAATATTCCATCTATATGACGGCGGTCTGTAATAATCAAGTCTGAACAAGACAATCCAGTGATTGATATCATGAGCATGTGAACTATAGCTGACTATGGCGTCAAACAACACCAACACACAGGAAGGAGGATTTTTTCTTAAAAAAGTGAGTGTGTTGAGTTTAACGCCGCTTTGAACAGTATTCCAGTTATATCAGTCGTCTAAGGCGCCGCAATTCGCTATGCAGTGTAGCGTCCCTTGGCCATGTCAGAACTCTATGACTGTGGGTTCGGATCCCGGTTCGCCCTGATTATGTTTCTAGGTTTGTCAGTACCATACCCATGCTCGTGGGTTTCACAAAAGAGGTTAACGGCGAAAACCTGCATCACTCAATTCAGGCTTTTCTCCCACATTAAGCTAACACGTAATATAAATGGAATGCTGTTAAATGAGTGAGTGAGTATGGT